AGGTGTTGTGGCCTCCAGCAAAAGTAATTGAACTATATCCCGGAAAGGACGGCAACATTCGAGTAGTTCATGTCAAAACCATGTCTGGAGAATCAGTTCGACCAATCCAGAGAATATTCCCTCTTGAAATACCTTCACCTTTGGAGTCAGATGAGGCAAATGAAACTGAGACACAGGGTGAAGACAGTTTAGTCTCAAAATTACCAAAGAATAATTCAGCTGCAGATTTATCAAAGGACATTAAGACTGTCGTGACTAGAAGTGGACGACAAATCAAAATTCCATCTAGATTTCTAACCTGAACACTACTTGAGTTATTTTAAAGTAGAAATTCAAGAACTTAATTTTTTCTTTTGTTTACTATTTAGCCTTAATATTTGTATGGACAGTATTTTTTATTATATTTTGTTTTGATTGATTAAGTATATGTCATCAATCAAAAGGTGGGAGTATTGTTAGAACCCAGCCTCATTTGTTATTTTCTTTTCATAGTTTGTCACTGCAAGAGTGGCAACCATCTGATCTTTGTTGTAGTTTTTGCAGTTCTATGGATTTTGAAAATAAATATGACGCTGTAGAATTTTATATGTAAAGTTATTTTATTTTAAATTTATTAGGAGAAAGGAGAACGGTTAGTTCTTGCAAATCTCAAACAATCATGAGTGGTTAAAGGTTGTTTTGGCAGTTGATTATAAAAGCCTCCATTCCTTGTTTAAAGGCAACTGGCCTTTTGAACTACATTATGCATTTTATTAAAAAAAATTAACCGCACTCCATTTATATATGTATATAAAAATAATTACATGAAAAAAAATTATAAGATGGGAGCTTTCAAAGTATATATTTTCTTGTATGGGGGGTTAAAAGTAACAAATAAAACAGGGCCTCTGTTATGAACCAGCACTTCCTCATCATACTGTTATCTTTTACATGCAATTATTTTTTTCTCCTTAAATTGTTCGCATTTTTATATTCATCATTACTGTACTCAATATTCTAAACATTACATATATTCTACATAATATTCAAAACAGAATTCTATATCCATTTTTCTGTACCAGATTTTCAAAATAAACAAATTCATTTTTCACATTTAGAGCATTCTTAAAATATTAAATTAATATTCTTAAAATTTTTAAACAATAATCTCATTTCTAATTATTGCTACAGTAATTTTATTAACCTTCTCTAAATAATAAAATAATTACAAATCTTTAAATTCTTCGTTATTTAATTTAAAACATAATTATGAAAAACTAGATTTGTTGGTATCATAAAATTTTAATTATTTCCATAAAAATAGTATTAAACTTTTAAAATTTAATATAAGCAACATTAGATACCTAAATTTCAAAGCAGCACTAAATTAAAAATCACTAACTTCATGGTAATGAAAAACGTTGAGCATACATCATTTACAAAATAACATTAAATAAATTCACAAAATTTGTAAATTAAATATCATATAAGAAATACTGAATCATTTTTTAAACAAGATTTTTTGCCTTTGCAAATCTATAGAATTAAATTTCAGGAATGCTGCACTAAATTTAGATGCAAAATTTTAAAACTGTCACATAATTCTTCTTTTTGAACCGCTCAAATGAACATAATTTAATTTATGTGATAAAATAGCTCAAGAATAAAGGTTAACACAAATATTGATGCCGCACACTGAATACAGATGTTGACAAAACTTCAGGCTAAGAATCTTGAACTACTTGTTAATAAATTCAAATTAATGATTTTCCTTTTACTTCCAATTTTCGATCACTAGTTATAAAGCAGAGGTAGATTGCAAGCACTAAACAGAACAGATTTTTTTTTTGTTTCCTTTGATATTGCTAGATAATTTAGCACTTTTCTAGCTAATAATTTAGCACTTTCTAGCAGCTGAATTATTCTGCTAGATAATCCACAATTTAATTCCATAACCAATGTTCAATCAAGCAGGGATCATTTTGTACAAGCTTGAGTCCAGCTGCATTATTTATTGTAATATAACTGGGCCATTAATGTAGTATGACTGCTCCATTATTGTAATATTACTGTGGCATTATTGCAATAATATGACTTTGGCACTATAACTGCAGCAAGATGACATGCAAAGAACTCGTATAATGATAAATTCCACACAGAATTTTATTCCATGGTAATGCACATCATCACTATGGGTAGGCTATGCACCCCACAGTTTTATACAGCATAAATTTTTTAAACAATTGATAAAACTGGAAAAGTCAACTTTGCATGGCTAGCGTTAATGCAAAGCTGCGAAACAAAGCAACAGAAGAGAAAAAAAGGGAGCTGCAACGCAATTACATTTTTATACCATTTCAGATAACATGACAGTTTAATTTCTAGATGTTGGGCTCAGATTTCATGGATAAGTACACAGTACAGATTAGATGTCAGATCTTTTTCGTTTAATTAAAAAAAATTATTGCTGTTATGTTTAGAATGAAGACAGGAGCTTATTTAGCTATTATTTATTTATTATTTGAAAGCTTTTGAAAGACATTTCATATTATATATATATAACTTTTATTTTTAGGTTTGTTAACAACTGCAAACCTCCAGATAGTATAGTATGGAGTATTTTTCCATTTTTAAACCAATATGGAATTTTACATGTTGGAGGCAGATTAGCTAACTGTACATCGAATTTTGATTAAAAATTTCAATAATCCTACCAAAAAACCATAAGTTGACCAAATAAATTTAATTAATTGTATTTAACCAATTAATTGTAGTGTTTCATAAGAAATACATGCATACTGGCCTTCTGTCTCTTGTTTGATGAGGGTTTTGGCCCTTAAATGGGTGCAGCATTTTCAGAAAAATAGTACATGAGTATGTTGATGTTTTAAAGTGAAATCATTGTCCTGTCAACAACTTATGGGTCAAATCCCTCAGATAGACTGAGAAAGAATTTTCATTCAATTGTATTGGAGTTGATTTTTTTTAACCTTATTTTATAAAATACCCGCATCAAGGAAAGGGTCGTCTTAACAAAGTGTATGTGTGCATTTTTGTTTTGTTACCAAAGCTTGCCATCTCGAGCTGGTAACAGACCTTTCTAGTCAAGCATTTAGGGCAACCTTAAAGCGTTTTTTTTTTCAGCAGGAAAGGTAAGTGTGCACACATGTTTTCAGATAACACAACCAATTTTATTGGCAGTAATGTAGAATTAAATAAAGTGAAGAGACTAGTCAGTAAACCAGATGACGAATTAGGCAATTATTTATCGAGTGAGAGTATTAATTGGTCTTCCATCCCCAAGAGATCCTAATCAGGGAGGTCTTTGGGAGGCAGGTGTCAAATCTATTAAATTTCATTTGAAATTCATAGTAGGCATTTTGAAACTAACCTATCAGAAATTCCTTAGAGTAATTCCTGAAATTGAGGGGATCTTGAATTCTAAGCCCTTGCATCCTTCATCCACCTTAACCAGAGGTCTTTGACATCTTGATACCAGGTAATTTCCTGGCAGACAGACCTATCAGTGCTATTGCAGAACCTAACATTTTAAACGCTACTGATAACAGATCAAAGAGCTGGCAAAAACTGACTAAATCATGCAAACAGTATGGAAGAACAGGAGGAATAATTATTTGAGTGCTATGCAAGGAACAACAAATTAAAAATTAAAATATAAAAATTGAAATTATGTTAATTAGACTGTTAACATCTCTATATAGAACTGGCCTCTTTGCAGAATCATAGAGATATTTCTAGGTAAAGATGATAAAGTGAGAGTAGTTTCAGTGAAAACAAAAAGTGGTATCTTCAAGAGATCCATTAATAGAGTTTGCATCTTACCCATGCCAAATAATAATAATAATAATAAAGTACCATTGTAATTAATTATGGTGTTTCCTTATTATAGTTGCTGATGTTATCATGTTGATATTTACAATTATTTTCCTGCATTTTATATTGCGACACCGTGTAAAATTTTCATTGTAAAGTTTAAAATTTTGAGCAATTACATCATGTCAAAGCGGGTGGTATGTTCCATCTGCACGTACATCTTAATACTTGCAGTCTTGAACTCTTGGATATTTTTTTTATGTAAGAGTGTGTGCTAAGTCTGGAGAGATTTCATGCCTGCAAATGGTCATGAACTGTGCAAAGAGAATGAAAATAAAGTGATTAAATAAAGAATGAGAATAAAGAGATTAAATACAGTCCATGAGTACACTGTGTAACAGATCAATACTTTATTATAATTTGCCACATTTCCACTCCCTACATTTTGTCACTTCATTTTGATCAAAACCTTCTTGTGCATTTTGCTTAACTGCGTAATCCAATTCAAAGCTAACACTGGCATAACCAAGCTTCGAAATTTTATATTTCCACTATAATTAATAATATACTGTAAGGATTATGTTACTTTTATTAACAGTTAAATTTTAAGTTCCTTTCCTGTCGATTCTTAACTTCAACTTACTACTTCCGGCCAGAACGTAGTTTTAGAATTGCATCTGAATACATAATGAGGAAGTTCTTCGGTCTTAGTGAGAGAGATACCAGGTTTCCGGCTGCACGTGTCTGCCTTTCTAGGCTACTCTCTCATAAGCTATCATTACACTCGGCCGTACTTTAGGCCCTTGATAGCTTTGCAGTCATTAAGCATTAAGGGGCCAAGTCGGTTAGAATCTTGATAGCTTTGGATATAATTCTTTAGTTTAGATTAGTTTTAGTTTAATTCTCAGCCTCTTAAAGTTCAAGCCCAAGTGTCTGCTTTTATTGTACACTCCAAGACGAAGTTCTGTTAAATCTTATTTGAATAATAAAGGGTTATTTACCCTTCCATCTTGTTGTTTTTTGTCACACCAACTCAAGCGATTATTCACTTATCAGTTCTTAAGATTCTTCCCGTTCAACTGTAACTTAGCATTGACAAGGTGAGGAACACTACAATACCAACAAAAGCTTGAATAACGCAAGAGCTACAAAAAAACGCTTTTAAATAATTTCATCAAAGTATGTACCTTAGAACAAGTAACCATTAAACCATTATTGAACCTGAGGTGGAGTACAGCTTCACAATGATGAATCAACGTGTTCAAAATTTGTCCAGTACTCACATCCCATACCCTATGAAAAAATGTAACATGTAAAGATAGACCTTATGACATAACTTTCTAAAAATATCTAGTATTTCAGGAAAATTCTATATACTGCATAATAAAAGAATACAAACTAAAATACCTACCTAACAGTTGAATCACTTGATCCACTTATAATAACCCTTTCATCATACTGAAGGCAGAGAACTGAGCCAGTGTGACCAGTCAAGGCCTATGACAAAAAAGAAACATTTTAAAAAATAAACATTTTGAATACCTAAAAGCACTTATATATAGTATTGCAATGCATGTTTACAAGGTTTATCATGTATACTTTTCTTAAAGCAACCAAGTCAGCTTTTAATCTTTATTTTACATATATTTGCACATAATTACCCTTAGCTTTATTCCTTTGTCAAGCTAGACTTGACATTATACATTGTAATTTTAAAATTAATTTTAAATGTTTAAATCTACTTTTTCTTTCAAATATTTTGCAATATGTAAATGAATACTAAATTTATTATATTTGACCAATTTAGATAGTTTTAAATTCTTTTTAGTATTACTTTTATATTAGGAGTGGCCGAACACACTACCTAAAGCCTCTCTTGTACTTCATGGTTGAAATGACTCCAAACTCAAGTTATAAAACAATAACAAGAACTTTAATAAAAACATAAATGTAAGAAGTTAAGATTACATCAATCAGATACGTGGATAACACTCAATACAATAGTACTTCAAAATGGTTACAAATTTACAGAGCCCGATTAAGGCAGGGGCATACGAGGCCACATCAGAGGGAGGCTATAAATTGAAAAGAAAGTTTATTATTATAAAAATTTAAATACCTCCATAAAGTTCAGTTGTTAATTACTGAAGTAGTGAAGCAGAGGTTGCCCCCAAAAGAAGTTTTTGCCCCAGGCTCCAATTAGGCTAAGTCGGGCCCTGCAAATGTACTGTGCTACAACAACATTAGGAAAGGTTGGTCCATGCTAAATCTCTTAGCATAACAAAATACTCCAAGCAGAAAATGCTACCTCCAGTATTACCGGTGAACATAAGTTCGGGAAAGCCGGCTCGTTGAATATGCAGATGATAAACCTTCAAACTCCCAAACTCACTCACTTAGGTATTTCGGCTACACTCTCTTGAAACAACCTAGATTCACAATGTCCAAACTTCAACTCCACAGTCGCTTGTCCTACACTGAATCATAGCGAGAATATCTCCTTGGGTAAGAAACAGGCACAGCTGCAATCTCAAAACCACATTCCAAGCCCAGTGCAAGAGTCCCTTTGTCTGGGAACTATCAGGTAAGACCATAAGTTCGTGCGCATTAAGAGTATGCATGGAATTCACTGTGACGCATTTACTAAAACAATACAATTTTGAACCTGTTAAAACTTGTCATCATTTGACTAACATATTATTCAGTTCGTCACCAACTTTCGTAAATATCGAACACATTTTAGTACCTATAGAAGATGAATATAGATAATCAGTACAAATGTGCTGTGCTACAATTTTTATTTTCGTATGGTGAATCTGCCAGGTTTTCAGCGATAAAAATTAATAGTGTCCGTGGTGAACACCACGATTGGTGAATATCAAGAAAGTGTTGTTTCATCATGATAATGCTAGACCACATACGGCTCGAACAACGCTGCAAAAAATTAGTGAATTTAATTGGGAGCTTTTGCCACATACTGCTTACTTCTCAGATATTGCCCCAAGTGATTTTCACTTATTCCGTGCCTTACAAAATTTTTTACTGGGAAAAAAAATTTAATTCTAAACAGGATGTACACAATCAACTTTTAAGTTTTTTTACATCAAAACCAGAGTCTTTCTACAGCAATGGCATAAAAAAGCTGAATGTAAGATGGCGAGACATTGTAGATAATGGAGGAAAATATATAATTGATTAAAATGTTAAATTGTGTTTTTTTTATATTATTTAAAAATTTACCAAAAAATGCGCATGGATTTATGGACTGACCGAATATTTCCTTGGAGGGTGAGATAAGGAACATCTGCGTTAGTCACAGTAGTACTGCCTTCAAAAAAGCAAGTTCGATATGCTTTAGAAGAAAAAAACATTTTTTTGTCATATTTTGTTTATATAAAAATGTATGTTTTAATTTAAATTATTATAATAACTGAACTGTTACATTTATTTATGTGCTAAAAAGTATAAAAATATAGATGCCTCGAATCAAGAGAAAACAATCATTCACCAAAGAATATGAAAGTAGTGATTCAAATAGATAATGAACTTGAATTATTGGAAGATGATACAAATTTTACTAAAGTGTCTGAGCCATTGTTTTTGGTTCCTTTTCAAACCGAGACCGATTCTGACGAAAAAATTATTGTAAGAAGAAGAAAAATTGGGAGATTTATAAGCAATGATGAGTATACCAATGAGCAACCATCTATTTCTACATATAATAGGCAATTTGTTGCAACTGATGAAACATTATGGACAAATGTAACTGAAGAAGACAATTATTGTCATAACATAAAATTCTCAGTTGGTGAAAATGTTGTTGGGCTAAAAGTTCCATCCAGCTACACATCAACTCTAGAATGTTTTTCACTCTTACTCTACTGAAAAAATAGTGAGTGAAACTAATGCATACACAGCAAAAACAACATCAGAAAAAAACACTAAGCAAATATTCCATTTGGCAAAATTGCAAAGATGTAACTGAGAGTTAAATGAGAACCTTTATTGGTGTCATCATAAATATGGGCTTTGTTGTTTCACCAACTTCTGAGTCATACTGGTCTCAAGCATTTCATCTGAAGATGGCATTTCTTAGAAAAAATTTTTAATGCAAATGTTTTTTCCAAATATTATGGTGACTATATTTGGAAACAATTTCACCAAACACCCAAACGATAAGGACAAGGATAGAAAGAGTGAGCGACTTTCTAGATTACCTAAACCAAAAATTTATGGAAAATTATATACCTTGTGAAAATTTGGCAATTGACGAATCTACAATCTTGTTCAAAGGAAAAATAGACTTTCTTATGTATAACCCTAAAAAAAACAATAAAATGGGGACTCTGACTTTATGTTTTAGCAGATTCTAAGATAAGTTAGTTATACACATTTGTTCCATATTATGGTAAAATTACACCAGATGCCTCAATTAGAGCAGATCTTAATTTCACTAGCAGACTTGTGATCCACATCTATCAAAATTTAAAAAATTCGATTCCTGAAGTCAAAGTGTATCATATTTTTACTGACAGATTTTTATACGAAGCCCACTTTAGGTGCAGAACTTCTAAAAGCCAATTGCTTTCTTACTGGAACAATTATAACCAATCAAAAAGGATTGTTAGAACAAATTAAAACATCAAAATTAGCTATTGGAAAGAAAATCACTTATAGAAAAGGAAAAACGTTAGTATGGCATGTCAAAAGAGAGGTCACAATGTTTAGTACAAAAAACTCTTTTTTTCACAATCTGCAAGGAAAAGATGAAAGACAACTGAAAATACTTGTGAAAAAGAAATAAACAAACTGACTATAATATTAGATTATAATAAGAAAATGGGTGCAGTAGATGTCGCCAACCAGTATGCTACATCCTACTGCTTTATGAGGAAGACTTTGAAATGGTGGCAAAAGTTACTTTTCTGGGGATTGGAAACTTAAACTGTGAACTCATACATTTTATTCAATAAATACGCTATATAGGAAAATATCAAAAGGATGTCACATACAAAATTTAGAGAAAATTTATTGACGAGTCTCATCAGACTTTCGTGCTCCTACGCAAAAACCCAGCCTATTGTCCACAGATGAAACTATCCAAGATTTAGATGGGAAGACTCATTTTACTTTTTCTCATAAAAACACAGGGACTGTATGGTATGTTCCAGCCGGAAGGTCAAAGGAGGGAGAAAAGAAACAACATTCTATTATGATACCTGTGATAGGAAACTCGGTCTTCCTCCAGGAGTATGTTTTTAAAAATATCATACCTTGAAAAATTATAAATAATTAAGGAAAATAAATAGGTCGAATATATAAATTTATATTTCTTTACTATCCTACTACTTAATATAATTGAAAAAAAAAATATTTGTTATACACTCTGCACTGTTGCAATACAACCTTTTATTGAGACCCCCTTTTTTTATCTGTTTTGTAAATGAATTAAAGAGTTGTTGGTTAATAAAAAAAATTAAGGAGAGGAAAGGGTTACGCTATGCATTAATCTAAAACTTGAATCCGGGATGTTGAGCATTCTATTTCAAAGTGAACAAGCATTTTTAAATAATTTATTCTAGTGACTCAGCTACATCTCTGAAGACCTCAAATTTAATCTGTTAGAGCTTCTTTTAGCAGACCACAAAAAATTTATTTTGGGCTGCAATTTTAGTTATTCTAACATCTGTATACTTCAGCAGGCTTTCTCAAGACCTGAATTTCCTCTTAAACACATAGAAGAAATACATCAATGATCGCTATTCTGGCTAATGCTTATATCAAACAAAATTTCTAGGTGGCGATAAAGTACTGAAAATTAAACATTTGTTAATCTTAGCAACACAGAAATTGGAAAATTGTGTCTCAGGTTCGAGATTCTATATATAATTGAGAGGATGTGCACATATCTGGGTTATTTGAAAGCAAGAGATGAGGTGCAGCTTACTACAGATGTTGACCAAACAGAGTAATTTCATGAACAAACATATATCTCTGTTAAAAAAAGGTCGTAGGAAATACAGTACAAAGTTCAAAATCTGGATTTCTTGGGACTTCAACAGTTCCATATTTGGGATTTTTCCATATATTAGAACATCAGTTTAAATCTAGTAAGATGAAATGCAGAAATTATGCAATTAAAAATATGAAAATACGAGGGCATTTCGAAAAGTAAACATACACCGTATGCCAGAGGAAAAGAAAAGTTTTGGTAAGCAAGTTGGTAACACAGGTGTTAACCTTGAACCGTTAGCTTTCTCCTCGCGGTCGTTCAGCATTTCAATGTTGATTCTGGTTGGAGTAGGTCGTCTTTAAAATGGCTGCGCCGATTCAGAATCCCGCCAAATGCGAAGTGCGCTCTGTCATACGTTTTTTTCATGCAAAAGGTCAGCGACCAGCGGATATTCACAAAGAAATTGTTTCTGTTTATGGGAAGATTATGAATCGACAAAATGTAACGAAATGGTGTCATCACTTCTCTGAAGGTAGGACCGATG